TGATATTTCAGGCCTCAAGGTTCAGCGCCTCGGGACGTAAAGTGCCCCTCCCCGAGCCCCGCCGAAGCGAAGCATGCCGCTCACACACAAACCCCACAGAGGCCGCAGTGGAGTGGTCCAGCAACACAACGGTATCCTTCCCACTCACACTGCACACACACACACAATGACAGTCTCACATGACAATGTCAGAGAAGCATTACCGCATTCCCTAAAATGTCCACCAAATCACACACCTACAGAGAGGAACAGAAAAACACAAGAAAAGAACAACAACAACAGGATACCAACAGCACACAAAGCACTCACAACACAATAATCACAGGCACCACTCCCATCAGAGAAAAACAATCACCCACACCAGCACATCAACTCAACCCCAAAAAAGAAAAAAAAAAACCCATTACGTGAAGCCGAAACGGAACAGTCTTAGTCCATCTTCCCCGCAGGCTGCAGTCACTCAAGCAAGCCAAACAACACACACCACAAGGGAGGAAATATGTTCGTGACAATGCCGTGAGTGACAACACCGAGAGAGTAAAGGTAAGAACAAAGAAATGTGTTCTCATTACGTAGGCGGTGTGGAGTAGCAACCTAAACACACAAAAGAACACACAACGGAGGGACACACTCAAACACCCACCAATCTTTATACCGAAGTAAAAATGTAAAAAAAAAAAAGAGTGACTGCGTGAGGCAGACACAATAATAAAGCAAAGATGTAAAAGAAAAAAAGAAATTCATTACTTAATGTGACTGCGATGCCTGGACACAGTCCAATCCTCCCCAAGGTTAACAACGGAAAATCATTGTGTACTGAACATGCTGTACCCATATCTTTATTCTTGATGTCCCTGCAGCAGTTTGTATATAATGAAAGAATCATTCCATAAAAATGAACACACAAGATACACAAGGTGTATGGGAAACGCAAAAGAGAAACACACAGATGCACACAATGTGCAACGAAATTATAATGAAACACACACAAAGGATAAAACAATAAAATGAAAACAAAACAAAAAGAAAGCCGTAATCACCATGTGAATATGTTCAGGAGGCAAGAACACAATTCACTGCAGTAGGTTTGTGTGCCTTTCGCACAGGGCGAGCAATGGGAATGATGCACACATGATGACAGTCCACACAGACACACACACAAAGAGAAGGAGGGTTGGTAGTGTGTGTGTTTGTGTGTCTTGAACCTCCTGCCATTCTTCACATTTCAGTCACAGCAATTACAACACATTGGAATTGCATCCCATTCCCATGGGTAAAAGCAATAGTTAGTAATATCACGCGACACACACACACACACATCACCAGGCGAGCACAGTAAATGGCGGCAAATCAGAGCCCAGATAATAATGCCAACAAACAAAGAGGACACTCCCCTCACAAAATGATGGTTTGTCATGTGATGAGTGCCATAGGGAGTCCAATCGATTTGTTCAGCATAAAAAAAAATGCAAACAAGAGATTTATCGAACTGAAAAAGAAAAAAAAAGCATTAAAATCCAATAAAAAGAACAATGCTCTTACAATGCATCCATATCCACTCAAACAAAGACTGTTAACTATGCAACTGTGTCATGGGAACAACGATCAGCACACGAGAGTGCAACCCAACACATACAAGAGAAAAAGCATCATTGGAAGGGGAACCAATGCCGGATTCTTGGTGCCATCCGTCCCCTTTAAGGGTTTTTTCGCTAGTGTTTCTTTGGCCTTTCTTACATTATCATCAGTGACCTTTTTGTCCTCTTCCTCCTTCGCCCGGTTCGCTACCTCGGCTATCCTCGTCCTTTCCTTTTCTGCTTCAACCCTCCTCGCCTCTTCTTTCTTGGCTTCTTTTTGTGCCTCAATCTTCCTCGCCTCTTCCTTCTCGGCTTCTTTTTGTGCTACAATCTTCCTCGCCTCTTCTTCCTCGGCTTCTTTTTGTGCTTGTGCAAGTCGCTTCTGTTCTTCTTCCAGTTCCTTTTGCCTTTCTTTCTCCTGTCTCTCGGCTTCTTTCCTTCTTGCCTTTTCTTCTTCAACCATCTTGTTTACTTTAATCTCCATCTCCACCGCCAAAGTCACTTTTGTTGAGGTCTTTGCCGTCTCAATTTTCGTTTTTACGTGCTGGGGAAGTGACCCGTATAAACTGGGAAATGTTCTTTTTTCCAGTGTCTTCTCGATCTCCTTCTTCTTTGTTTCTCCCACCATCGTGGTATCCTCGATCTGTTGTTTGATCTCAGCACACTTACCCCCCGACTTACTACCGAGTGCGCTTTTCCGCTGCCGAAGTTCTTCAACCGCACCATTTAACGCCGTCTTCACCGCATCGAGTGATCCAGTATCCCTTGTGACGAAACTGCTATTTGCTCTATATGCAGAGAGATTTCCAACGAGAAAAGTTAATTCATCGCTTATCGCAGTGCTGTTTATAGCGAGAATCATTCTCTCGTCCGTCTTAACTATTTTTTTTTCCCCAAGTAATACGGAAAAATAATTTTTGCTCTCGTTAAATCGCCTCCCTTCCTCTGTCCAAACGTTAACTGTACTCAAACACACTCCTTCCACCTTTCTTGTATCCTGGACTGACGAAGTCATCTTCTCGATTGCCTCAACAGTGGCTTTCATCGTGTCATTTGCCTCCTGTACTGCTGCTTTATATTCCATACAAGCCGTGGAACCATCCTCAGAAGACGTAGACACTCCATCCCTTATCTCTTTGATTTTATGAACACTTTCCTCGGTCTTCTTTGCTGCAGACACGGCCTCCCCAGTTTTACTCCTGCAATCCTCCACCACATCTTTCCAAGCAGAAAAACAACCACTACCATCCATAAACTTTGTATATGCATCGGTCAGCCCGTTCTTCAACGCCTTTTCCAGATTTTCGTGAACTTTGGCTTCCTGAGGTTCACCATCACTTGCACATGCCATACTCGAACAACATTGCAAAAGCACCAACAGATACACCACGCGTCGAAGGTGGACGAACATCGTTGTTTTTACTCTCTCTTTAGGTTGATTGAACCTGTGGACACCAGAAAAAAAAAGAGAATAAGGAACTCATTTGGCACTGAAGACAAAAAACACAACATAACAAGTCCTGGGGTTGGCAAAAATCACTCGACGCAAAAACCCGCCCCCACGCATCGCAACACCAGTACGTTAACGTATAGGCGACCACAGAAGAAAAAAAAAATTACAATGACGTGGGAAACAAAACAAAAAAAACCCACATACCACAAATATTACAAAACCCATACACCAATTCACCCACCCTCTTATTGCTTTCGCCCTGAGCCTCCTTTCCTTCTCACCGATCTCCACCCACACATACAGCTTCTCACGATGTAGATAATTAAGGTACGCTCAAACATATCCCTTCCCACCTCAACAATAGAACCCCCACACGAAGAAAGAGATAGACGCCGGACTTGTGTCACCAAAAGCGACTCGCAGGAGTAACGCTGCACCCAAAAATCCTTAGAAAAAAATCACACGGCGCACCGCAACCACAAGAACAAGAAAACAAAAAGGGCACTCCTGTTGTAGAGGCCGCCTGCTTCGACCAGAAAAACCGCCACCCCACCCCGGCGCCACCAGCCGGCCAAAGTTGTGACAGACGGCGGCGGCGACGCCACCAGGCCGGCACAACCCAAAACACCGGAACAACCCAACACCTACAAGGGTTAGCTTGTGTGCGAAAATGTGCCCCAATACCACCGTAACGAGGCCCAGTAGAGCACGGAGGCGGGAAACGCACGGCACTCGCAAAACTGAAAATTCACCCCTGGAGGTGGGACTGGAAAGGGCACCACGGGACCACCCCCCGGGAGCATAATGTGTTCTATTGCGGGTATATCGTGTACGACCATACTTGGCCGAATGCACCATATCCCGTCCGATTTGTGAAGTTAAGCGGCCACAGGCCTCGTTAGTACGGCGATCAGTGATGGCGCTGGAACCCGGGGTGCCGTACCCTCCTCAACTTTTTTTTTTGCCACCATCATGGGGTAGGTGGCGTGGACCTCTGAAGTGAATCACGGCTCGCCTTTGGCAATGGGGGCTGTCCAATCGCGGCGCCCAGCCTATGCACTTCCATCCATTCAGGGAAGCCAAACATGCCTCACACATTGTTGTGGTGGGGCAGGCGGTGGGGTGCCAACAAACCAAAAACACCTATGGGGCAATATGTTCTTATGGGGCGATGTGTTCTTATGGGGGAAAATGTTCTTATGGGACGAAATGTTCTTATCGTGCTTATTTTTCCTTTTCTGCATTTCCCATGGATTTCCTTTTCACACTACACATGGCAGTAGGGGAACGCCTTAACACCATCATGGAATATTTTGCCTTTACCATAGGGAAGGAAGGACTCACCCTCTTGTTCTTTTTCTTCATTGCGCCCCGTGCCTCCGGGTAAAAGGTGCGGTTGCATGGCCACACCATGTCATGAGGGGAACGGGGAGGGTCATCTTTGCGGAATACCTTTCAAACCCATCTTACTCAGCGTTGAAGTAGGGAAAGCAAAGCGTTTTCCACTATGCCCAACCCCACTCATTTCATAAGTGAAAAACCCCCGGGAGCCACCCCCACCCCTCTTTTTCTTGTTGCGCACAAGACGCTGACAAGTTGGCCGCCCGCCTTGGGTTGTGGGGTCGTGTTCTCCTCCTCCCCCTTCTTGGGGTGATGGATAAAAAAAAGAAAAGGGCAAAACCCGACAACGAGCCTCGAGCATTGCGCGCGTAGACTGGTTGCCGGGTTTCATCCTTTTTTTCTCCTCATCCCCACTCTTCTTTTTTCTCTCAGGTTCAAAGTCCCTGAGCATGAGATATTTCAGGCCTCAAGGTTCAGCACCTCGGGACGTAAAGTGCCCCTCCCCGAGCCCCGCCTAAGCGAAGCACGCCGCTTACACACAAACCCCACAGAGACCGCAGTGGAGTGGTCCAGCAACACAACGGTGTCCTTCCCATTCACAGTGTACACACACACACAATGACAGTCTCACATGCTCATGTCAGAGAGGCACTGCCGCATTCCCTAAAATACACACTAAGTCACACACCTACAGAGAGGAAAAGAAAAACACAAGAAAAGAACAACAACAACAGGATACCAACAGCACACAAAGCACTCACAATACAATAATCACAGGCACCACTCCCATCAGAGAAAAACAATCACCCACACCAGCACATCAACTCAACCCCAAAAAAGAAAAAAAAAAAAACAGACCCATTACGTGAAGCCGAAGTGGAACGGTCTCAGTCCCTCCTTGCGGGTTGCAGTCACCCAAGCAAGCCACACAACACACACCACAAGGGCAGAAATATGTTCGTGGCAATGCCGTGAGTGATACCACCGAGAGAGAAGGTGAGAACAAAGAAATGTGTTTTCATTACGTGGGCGGTGCGAGTGGCAACCCAAACACACAAAGGAACACACAACAGAGGGGCACACTCAAACACCCACCAATCTTTATACGAAAATAAAAATGTAAAAAAGAGTGACTGCGTGAGGCAGACACAATAATAGAGCAAAGATGTAAAAGAAAAAAAAGAAATTCATTACCTACCGTGGCTGCGATGCCTGGACACAGTCCAATCCACCCCAAGGTTAACAATGGAAAATCATTGTGTACTGAACGTGCCGTGCCCATATCTTTATTCTTGATGTCCCTGCAGCAGTTTGTATATAATGAAAAAAAAGAATCATTGCATAAAAATGAACACACAAGATACACACAAGGTGTATTGGAAACGCAAAAGAGAAACACACATCTGCACATAACGTGAAATGAAATTATAATGGAACACACACAAGGGGAAAAACAATAAAATGAAAACAAAATAAATAAAAACACCCTTACAATGTATCCATATCCACTCAAACAAAGGTTAACTGTGGAACTGTGTCATGGGAACACCGATTAGCAAACGAGAGTGCAACCCAACACAGACAGAACAAGAAGAATCAAGGAACTGTGCACCAATGCAGGACTGCTGCTACCGTCCTTCTTTTTCTTGGCCTTTTCTGCTGCCCGTTTCGCTTCTTCCTCCCTGATCTTTTCTGCTGCCTCTCTCACCTCTTTTTCCCTGGCCTTCTTTTCTGCCTCTCTCGCTTCCTTTTCCCTGGCCATCTTTTCTGCCTCTCTAGCTTCATTTTCCTTGGCCCTCTGTACCGTTTCCTTTCTCGCTCTTTCTTCTTCTTCCCTCTTCCGTCTGGCCTCTTCCGCAGCCCTTCTTGCCCCTTCCTCTCTTCGAGCCTTTTCTCGGGCAATCCTCTCCTTTTCCCTCTCCATACCCGTGGTCATATTTTTGATTGCCTCCGTCACCCTCTTGTTGACCTCAGCAGCGTACTTCTTCTTTTTGTCCTCCCCTACTGCCTCCACTTTTTTCACGGCGTCATCCATTTCCTTTTTTGGTGTCTGGAGAAGCTTCCGTATTTCCCCAAACTGTGGCTCTTTTCCCTTCACTTCACATGTCCCTTTGGTCTCTGACGTATCCGCATTTCCCAACTCCGCCAGAAACGCAAGCTCTGCGTACGCCATCCTCCATTCCTCTACCTGTGCATTGGCCTTACTCACTGCAAATCTGTCCTGAACTGTCACATTGTCAATTAGTGCCGTGACATTTCGCAATGTGGCGTTAATTCCCTCGGCCGCCCTCTTCACCAGCATTGCTTTATCACTCCTTTCATAATCTCCCACAAAAGTAGCAATACCACCGATCTTCTGTTCAAGATTCCTCAAAACATCGTCCACATTAGAACGCGTGGCCTTACAAAGGACCTCCGTTTGATTCGCATCGGCAATGTTAAATACCGCCTCTGCTGTTGGCGCCTTCTCTTTTGTCTCTCCCAGTACTTTTGGTATTTCCTGAAGCAGATCTTCGAACTTCTTTTTTTCGCAGGTATTCTTCAGCCTTAATGGTATTTTTCTCCCGCTTTCATCGACGACATCCCGATCCGCAACCTCGCCAATACTTTTGGTAAGACCCTCAATTTTTTTGGTGGCGTCCTCGGCATCCCTTACCGTCTTCTCATTTGCTTCAACCACCTTTTTCCACTCGGTCATACAGGCCGTTCCATTCTTAAAATGAACCTCGGATTCCCTAACGGCCACCAACGCATTCCACACTGTATTCCTCAACTCCTTGTTTCCAGGTTTCCCCAAAAAATCGTCACCCTCGAGATCCTCCTTGGTGAAGTTTGGTATATCCAAATACGTCTCCCACGCCTTTTTTTTGTTCAACACGGCCACCCCAATATTATTGTTTGCATCCTCTGTTGCAACTCCCGTTTCCCCCTGAGCGAGAACCAATACAGACAAGCACTGGAGAACAACCAACAAGCACATCACATGGCGCAGTCGGACGAACATCGTTGTCATGATTGTCACTGTGGGTTGTTTGGATCCATGGTAACAAGAAAGAAGAGCAAAAAGAGAAAAGAGACACACAATCAACACACACAAGGCAGAGAGTACACAGCAACACAGAAAAAAAGAAAGAGAACACACATCACAACAGCAATCAAACACGACAACCCAATGAGGGGAACAACAAATAAATCACTCACACACTACAACACACCCGGAGTTACACAGATATTGAAACAACACCTTGAATTTAGAAGAAGTGGAAAACAAATGGTATCAAAACAATATTAAATAAACGTCTCTACACACACTCCAATATCCTTTACTCGGTATTCATACACAAAGTGTCTGTATTCTCATTATGATAAAACCATTACCAGGCAGTTCATAACAACAAAAATACACCAAAAACACAGTGTGCGCCTGGCAGCATACAATAACAATACCACAAAACAATCAGCAAAACAAAGAGACTGTACAATAATCAACACACTTCCAAAGGGAAAAAGAAAAGAAACCAACGCATCACCATAATATTTATACCAACACCACAATTGGAATCTAAAACCCACTCATCCACAACCACAACAAAAATGACGGCATACATCACTGTAATACCATGCCACTCTTTACAAACAGAGGCAACACACAATTACTCCCTCTCACACACATATTACCTCTTTATTTATCCTTACTATTATTATTTTATTTTTCCCTCAGAATGCCGGTTCGCCTCTTCTTCTCCCACAACATCATCCGCAAATTAAAAAAAAATGACATACTTACTTCAACCCCCGATGTGTATTAAGAGGGTACAATCAAACATATCCCCTTACATCCCCCTACCCAAAAAGTACCTCACACACCACACCACCACGTTTTTCTTTCTCTTCTTCGTGTCTTTATGGATATTACTCCAATGGTACGGCTATCAACCGCATACCGTAGAGCACCTAATTACCGACTTACGAGTGGCTCCGAAGAAGAAGATCCCTTCATTTTATAGGATCCTCAAGCTCTTGTAATATTATTTTTGTTGTAGCCCGCTCCAATACGAGAGAACCAGTCTACGAGAGATCCGATCAAGTAAACCCAACCAGATCTCTCTACTCTCACTGTTCTTACCCAGAACCCGTCCGCAGGTCTCCTTTTGTTATTAATTTTTTTGTTATTTTTGGGTTTTTTTGTGATAGATTGGCCTCAATGAACTCCTATTTATTTTGTTGTTTGTTGGGTCGGCGACAGACGTCTTGAGCGTACTCTTCTATCAGGGTTTCCATATTCGAGCTCGTCGCTGATTTTGGAGAGGTGGGGAGGCCTTACGGGGTGAGGATGAGGTAGGCTGTGTAGGGTTTCTCTTGGCGGTGAAGACTGTGGTATAGCGTAGTTCCGCTCCACCGCAATAAGGAACTGTGCTAACCGCTTAGAAAAACATAGTTTCATCAGGGGTACATCATCAACTATCGCAAATTACATTCGCAGTGGAAGAAGAGCGGGGCAACTCAAGAGATGCAGAGCTGTTTCGTCGCATTCGTCACGTTGGCTGGTGTGCGCGCGAATAGGTTGATACCCGTGTCGTGACATTCGGTGTAGAGTTAGGCCTGACTTACTCATACATTGGTGACCACACGTGGGACAGACTAATGCCGGAAGGTCTCTTGTTTTCGTTGTTTTGTATTTCCCATTGGTGGAATTCGATTTTTGGGGTAGACCCTCTCCTTCATGGAATTTTCTGCAGTGTATTACGAGGGAGTCTAGGTGGGCGTAGAACTTCTGGCATACTCCGCATTGGACTTTTTCTCTGTCCTCACACTCCGGTGGCGACGTATCTCGCAGACGTTTCTTATTTCGCGGAAACGTTACTTGTATTGTTGCTGACAGAATTGGGGTTCCAGGTGGATGTTTGAACTTTTTGTGGCATTCGACAGCTCCAATGTTGCCAAAGTCGCGGAGGCAGAATTCGCATCGTAGTGAAGCAGGCTGTGGGATGAGCTGAGGGCGAGGTGCGTCCTTTGTGGGGTTCTCAGGATGTTTTGCTCTAATATGGGCTTTGAGACCTGTTTTAGATCGCGCTATCATATCACATTTGTCACAGGGGAATGCTGATTCTTCTTCTGGAATCGGTTCTTCGGCTCGCGGGCGTTTTCTCTCTGGGACAGGGCATGTGACATTGTGCATTTTTCCAAGGCGGTGCGTTAATCCATTTTGAAGCGGAAATGTTCGTTTACACATACTGCGGGCAAACGGATGGAGTTTTGCTTTAGGCGAAATGGGACGGGGTAACGTTGTGTCCGGAGGTGGGGGTTGTGAAGGTGGCGGAGGTTCTAGCGGGATGTCCGGCGGAGGTGGCTCATGGGGGAATTTGATCTTCCAGAGCGCGCCGGCTCTCTTGAACCCATGTGTTTGTTGACCATATGTTGTACTGCGGCGCTCCTGCATTAGTGCTGTGCCCCCACATTCGGTGCATGCGGCGGGGTCTGTTACTTTGTTTAGTGCATAGCGCGGTCGTTTTTGGCTAGGTGGAGTAACGGGAGCCGGCGTGCTGACTTGTTGGGGATTACACCATCGACAACCAGGGGGAATATGGGTTTGTATCTTTCGCATCAACCAGCCATAGCGATGCGAAGCACCTTTGCGAAAACGTGCTAAGGCTGTTTCTTCTTCTCTAGTAAGTTCCGGATTATCTTTGGTGGGGTCCCAGGATCCCGTGATTTTTGATCTATGGGAGGGAGGAGGAATATCCTCACCTTTAAGTATTCGTTTAGCGTAGGCTATTATATCTGTGATCCAAGTATCAGTTCTTTGTGGGAGTGCTGCAGCTTGTTTGGCTTCTGTGTCGCTTTTTTCATTTTTTACTACACCGCAGTGACCAAAGATAAATTGTAGTCATATGCGGGCCTTGCGACGTTGCACTTGAAGTATTAGGTTCCACAGGAGCCGTAGTATTGGGTCTTTTACGGCCAGTGGGCTTGTTTCCAGTGCCGTGAGAAGAGAGAGTGAGTCCGTGAAAATGGAGACCCTGCAGGGCGTTTGGTTATTTGCGGGGATTATTTTGAGGAGTCTCCGTAAACCTTCGTATAGCGCTACGGATTCGGCTGTGTAGCTGCAAGCTAGGGGGCCAGCGCCTCTATGTGTGGTACAGAGCAGCTTACCATCTTTGTATACCATTGCTGCTGCTCCAGATTTAACTCCGATAAATACGGAGCCATCAGTCCATATTTCATAATGGGTACGCGGCGGCGGTTCTGTGCCTTTACGGTGGAAGTGACGGGCTATCCAACGCTCGGATGCTTCTCTTTTCTGTTCTTCAGGGTCATCAGCTGAGACATTTTCCAGCGATGTGAAGAAGCGAGCGCGTTTACCAAACCGTAGAGTTGGTGTCAGTAGAGGTGGGCTCGCGTGGCTCTATAACAAGTGTTGGATAGATTTTCATGATGCGTACATAGAATTCTCGTACTGGATGGGTTTCGTGATAAACTTGTTCTGCACTTTCTTTCAGGGATCCACCTCGTGTTTGGCATCGCATTAAATATTTGAGGTCCCGAACCATGGCCGTCATCTCTAATGGGAGAAGACGGGCTTCACGTAGTGCGTCGGCGGAGCGACATCCATATGGGATACCTGCTATGGTTCGGCAAGCTTTCTTCTGTCCTGCATCGAGGAGTTTGCGTGAGGTGGGAGCCGCATCCCAATACCAGATCTCAAAACCGTAGAAACGTCTGGGCTTGAACTGGTGTCAGGTAGAAGGCTCGGAGGACGTCACGCTTCGCTCCCCATGTGGTGGAGGAGATTGCTGCAAGTTGTAGTAATCTAAAATTCATGCGCTGTCTCGTTTGAACCGCATGGGTAGACATGCCTCGGTGGTTTTGGAAGGTGATGCCTAAGAGTTTAGGTGCCTTCTCCGGGCCTACGGGGATACCGCGTAGTTTAAGAGAAAGGGGATTCGGGTCGGAGGTTCCAAAAAGTGTGTATTTTGTCTTGTCCACGTTGATGTCCATAAAATAGTTCCTGGACCATTCATCCACTACGTTTATTCCTTGTTGCAGTGTACTGTTTATGATGTCTCGGTTGGCGTGTCGTACTGCTGGTGTGAGATCATCGGCGAAAAACCCATGAAATAATAAGGGAACTTGGGATAATCGTTTGCTTAGGGCGTTCATGACGATAATGAACATAAGTGGGCCGAGAACTGTTCCTTGTGGCACGCCGCGGTGGAATAGCATTGGGGGAGAGAGGATTTACTGTTTACTCGTACTCTGCCTTGGCGTCCTTTCAGGAAAGATGCAGACCATCGAATGATGTGCGGTGGGATATCCATCTCTCGCATCGCACTAACTATTCGATCATGGTCTACAGTATCGAAAGGTTTGGCGTAATCTACAAATACTGCACCTGTACGTGAATCAGGGGTGGGTCTTGTGAGGGCTGCGCGTAGATGTAATAGTTGATCTAATGTAGAGTGAACAGGTCTAAATCCAGATTGTTGCTGGGCCAGTTTGGTATCAATGACATCTCTAATGCGCGCTGCAATGATCCACTCCATTAATTTGGACAGACAACTAGTGAGGGTCACTGGTCTGAACGAATCCAAGTCGGTGACTTTCTTTCTGGGTTTAAGGAGTGGTACAATGATGTCTACTTTCCAAGAGACTGGAACCACGCCTGTACGGAGACTCTCGTTGAAGAGGGCAAGAGTCTCTGCTTTGGCACGAGGTCCCAAGTGTTGAAGTGCCCCACCGTAGATACCGTCGGGACCTGCGGCCGTCCCTTTAGGAAGGTAGACGCTGTGCCCGTTCCAGTTCTGCCGCTGTAACGGGTATGGTTTCTGCATCGGTTACTGGAATGGGTGGTGGAGGGTAGGAATGTGGGTGACGTTGAGCTCGTCGTGAATATAAGCGGATAAAGTGCTTAGCTTTCTGATTTTCCGTGAGTACCGTATTATTAATCTTTACCGCCGGGGAACTGAGGGGGCGTGGGGCGTAAATCCTCTTCAAAATGTTCCAACAGCAGCCGTCTGCCACGGCCATGTTATTACAGAGGGCTTTCCATCTCTTATGGGATGTTTGTCTTGGCATTTCTCTTCCGCGTGCTACCAGTCTGTCTCGAGAGACTGAGGGTTTACAACTGTAAATCTTCTTTTCGATTTCATTTAATTCTGGAGTCCAAAAAGGAGTAGTATCTCGACCCCCGCGTGGAACCGCCGCAGCTATTGTAATACGGATGGCGGAGGTCAGTAGTCGTTCTCTCTTGTGAACGCCCATTTTCTCTTTGAGACATTTATTGCACTGGGCGTTTGACATTTGTCTAGAGCGAGAACATTTCGTTTTCTTCCATGCATAAATGGGCGCACGAGGGCGAGGGAACCGCAGTGGTTCATTATCATCCCCTACTGCTACGTCGAAGAGGATGATGTAATGATCGCTGTCCGGGGAGAAAGATGCTGTCCATGACTCCAGACGGCATTCTCGGGGTATTGTCACATCTGGCGCGGACGGACCATGGCGTGTGGTGTGGCGAGTGCAATCTCCAGTGTTGTGAATATAACCTAATCATTATCTAAGCACCATTGTACTAGCACATCGCCAAGGGTATCAGGGGGGATAGCGCGATCCCATGCCATTGCATGCGCATTAGCATCTGCACCAATGAGGTGAGGTCCGCTGGTCGTCAAAAGCGTGTCTAGTTGCGAGGTTGTGTATGATCTCTTCGGAGGGAAGAATATAATGACGTCACTGTGAGCGCCAGACCTTCTGACATGTGGATCGTTGCATGAGCATGCTCAATGCTTGCAACTACGGTGAGTCCTACTTCTACTGGCAGATCCTCACGCACAAGAATCAAAACGCCGCCTCCTTTAGAGGGGTGGGACACTCCATGATGTTGGTAACCAGCGATTGTGAAACTCGACACTTCCGCACAAGATGATTTCGTCTCGCTTAGAAGGCAGAATGTCACATTCTCCTCAAGAAAGGTTTTTCTGGAGAACAAGCCTCTTGCCCTGGATAAGTCCAGCTGAGTTCCACTGCATTCCTCGCAGTGAAGGGCCGGGATTTTTCCCTACATCAGACACCACTCGGCAGCAACCTGGTGCGGGTGATACTGCTGATAGCACGTCGACACGTGCCCCAGGACCTTCTTGGATATATTTCTGCCCCAGTACGATACGGCTGGCTCCGGTGTTGTGTAACGCCGTAGCCTAAGGGCCAACGGGTCTTCCAAAAGAAAAACGTCGTTGACTTGTGGCTTCCTCCGACAATACAAAGTACTTAACCTTGGTACCACGATAAGGTACCACATCCTTACCAAGGACTTTTTGTTGTAAAAGATGAAATGATGAAACTCAGAAATGATCATCATACTATACGGAGTGAAATAAATGAACTATTTCATATGTTACAAGAAGGTTTTAATGTTTTGCATGAGCAAAGTAATAAAATACAATACTCTATTACTGAAGAAAGTAAAGTAAAATAGCCTCACAGATTGCAGCAGATGTAGTGAATGATATGGTGCAACAAACTGTTTTTGATCGACTTAGGGAACAAGGTATTGTTCTTCAGCAATTCCCAG